GTGGCTCTGTTGGAGACCTCTGGCCACATTTCCTCTCATTTTCCCAGGTGGTCTATTTTTTCAGCCATTCTTTAGACTTAGGTCAGGCTCTGTGTGCTCCCAGGGCTTCAGGCTTCAGTTGTCTCTTCTTAATATAAGATAGTTCAGTTGCTGATGATGCCACTTATCAGGGGAGCACTTCATAGACTTTGTATCAGAATGCTGTTGGCATTTCTGAAAATGGTGTAGGTTATCCATTCACTTTGAGTTTATAAGAGATGGAGTTTCCATCCTGATTTTTTTAATGTAAAGCCTTATGCTGGATACTTTTGATGTTACCACATTGAATCCTCATACCTACCTAATGAGGAAGATGCCTTTCTCTCCATTTTACAGATGTAGAAACTGAGGCTTGGAGAGAGGAAGTGGCATGTCCAAGGTCATGTTCAGTGAGGAAGTGACTGAGTTAGGTTAGAAATCTTGTGCCTGTAACTCTAAGATTTGAAATAAAATATAAGTAGGGGAGGTGTAGTGAGGTAACCTATTGTTCTTCTCTACTGAGGAAGAGCAAAAGGGAGAGATCTGAGTAATGTGAGCCCCAAGAAAGAATCCATCACCATTATTATTTCCTTCTTCTTCAGGGGATTTTAAAGCATCAGTCACCTGTGGCTCATTCCCATATAGTGAACTGCCCTATTTATCTTTCTACAGAAAGTGAAACATCTATAAGGCAGCTCACCACCCCACTCCCCAACCCAGAACCATTTGGAGGAAAGTGGGCATTATTCCCCAGGTCTCACCAACCACAAAGCCCATTCACTTTCCCTTATCCCACTCTGTCTGGAGTGTGTGTGTGGGCAGGGGGTAATGAACTACTAGATGGCTTTCCAGGCTTCTTCCAGGCCTGCATCTCAAGTCCCATCTCCCCTAGGGTACCAAGTATATTGTTAGTTTCAACCATTTGCTAGCTGTGTGACTTTTGTCTTAGTCTCTCTGCACCTCAGCTTCCTCTGTTGTAAAATGAATATAATAACAGTACCAACCTCACTGTGTTGTTGTGAAGGTTCAACTAGTTAATACTTAAGAAAATGCATAGCACAATGCCTACTATATAGCGAGCATTCAATAAACGGTAGCTGCTGATAAAAAAAGAAAGTAAAACATAATCTTAGGGATTGCTAATTGAGTGATATGATGTGCCAGGAACTGTATTACACTTAAAGGAGCAGTGTGGATGATGACTCTGGCATCAAACATACCTGATTCAAATCCTGGATCTAAGTGTGACCTAGGGCAAGTCATCTCGCTACTCTTAGAGCCTTCTTTCCTGTATTTAAAATAGGGACCATAATATTTCTTAGTTGTGTTATGAACATTGGTGAGATTATATATATATATATAAGTAATCATACAATATATATTGATTATATTATATATTATATTATATATTAATTTTATATATGATTAGCCCAGTCCTTGGCTCAAAGTAAGTGCTGAAGACATATTAGTTATTATCACTCTTATTATATTAGCCATTATCTCACTTAACACTCACAGAGCTTATATGGCACAGAAAGTGGATTACAAGATCTCTTGCTATTTAGAACAGTGTTCAGATTCTAAATGAGTTTGGGAATGGATAACTGTTGATCTAAGCAATTTCTTTATTATGCAATGGCACCTAGGTAAAAATTAGCAAAAGATCATCTTTCATTATCTTACTTAGGGCTTCTAAGGGAGGAGTCAGGTGCAGGACAGTGGACATTGGACTTGACACCAGATGCCCAATGTCCTTGTCGTAGCTCTGCTACTCATTGCCTGTGGGACCAGGAGCTGTTGACCAGGCAAATGAAACAATGTTTCCATTGTTATATCTTACCCAGATATATGGAATACTTCTGAGCGATATAAATCAGTACATTCTCCTGAGTTCCACTGTGACTATCTGTAAAATAGAGCCATAGATACTCAGCCTAGAGGAATGTAAAAGTGGTGAACTATGTAGGACTATACACAGAAAGGCCCTTTATAGGGAGGGTCAGCAAACTTTCTTTGTAAGGGGCCAAATAGTAAATATTTTAAGCTTCTGAGGGCCATGCAGTCTCACTTGAAATTACTCATTCTGCTTTTGTAGCACAAAAGTATGCAAAGAAAATATGTAAATGAATGATCGTGGCTGTTTTCTAATAAAAATTTATTTACAAAAACAGGTGGCAGGCCTTGGTTTGCTGACCCCTGATTTAGATCCTCATTATTGAGCAACAGCAATATGCTAGGTACCTGGTAAGTATTGAGGATATCGAGGTAAACAAGACCCAGTATTTATCCTGGAAAAGCTCCCGGTCTTGTGAGGTTGTTAGGTATATAAATAGGTAATCAAAATTCAGGGTGATAAGTGCTCCGTAGCAGCATGGATGAGTGTTTTTGCTTTGCAACAAAGGAAGCCCCTGTAGTTGTGTACTGTGGTGATGACTCTACTTCTACCCTAGTAAGTCTTTTTGGTCCAATCAGTCTTACCAAATCCGTTGATAAAGGTTTCAGCTAATAAAACCCTTTTGTTAATCTTAATGATATCACAAGCCTCATACAATAATGTTCAGAGCAAATGGAATTTTTTAAATATACATTTTTGTGCCAATTCTTAAGTCCCCTGATAGTGAAATATAGCTTGGCAGTCTTCCCTTTTGTCAGTGGATTTCCTCTAAATGTGATAAAAGAACCAGAGGAGCACAGTGACCTGGCCTTCATACTGGTAAGCCTGACTTTACTCTTTTATTCACTAGTTATGTATATGTAGTGGGACAAGTCTCTTGGCCTTTGTCATTTTCTGTTACCTTGCTACAAGTGTGAGGGCCCAGTTAAATGGTTTCCAGCATCCCTTCCAGCTCTGCAGCTGTAGTTGGTGCATAAATATACAATATGCATCTGGCATGCTTTTCACTTGAATTTTCTTTGCCTCAGTTTCAACTTGTAAAATGGTGGGTGAGGTGGGCTAAGGGAATCTCAAAAGACTCTGATTTTGCTTATACTTAGAGGCTAAGACTGGGAATTTTCAAGGCATATTCTTTTTGGGGATACACTTGGAGCAAATCTCAAGGGGCAGATCTATGGGTAGATGGAAACCTGAGGAAAATGAAGTAGCACATTCAGGTGAAGTCCTGAGTTCACCTGCCTAATTTGGGAAGGTTTTCTGTAGGAGAGTTATCAGGTACAGTAGTCATCTTCCACCAATTACCATCTTCTTGCCCCACTCTGGGCTATGTGTCCAGATGCCTTTTAAGAAGTTTATTCTGTTCTGATACTAACAAAGTAAGTTAAGAGACAGGTAGGCAGGCAGACTCGTGTATGGACTATCCTCTGTGAGCAAAGTCCTGTTCTAGAAAGGGAATATAGTATAATGGCTAAGGGTATGGCCTCTGGTGTCACTATGCCTGGATTCGAATTCCAAATCTATTAGTAATGATTATGGAGAACATAGGTAAATCACTTAAACTTTTTGCACCTCATTTGAACTATCTTTAAAATGCAGATGACAATAGTACCCACCTCATAGAGTTGTTGCAAAAACTAAATAAAGAGGAAATTAGTGCAATGCCTCACACTTATAAGTATTAACTATTATTATTATCATCCTGAGATGGACAGACAGCCTACTTGGAGAAACAGAATTCATGGATAAATGTGAAAGTGTGGGACAAAGATAAGGGCACTTCCTGGCATGGGAGGCAGGAGAACTAGACTTCTATTCTTGGCCTGCCACTGGCTTGGTGTGTGACCTAGGTCAAATCTCTGCCCCTTTTTGGTCTCATTTTCACAAACTGGATAATATTTCTGATTTCTTCCAATGCAAACATTTTCTGAGTCAAACAGATTCTGTGTAAGCTCTGCACATAAGTATAAAAAAGGCTCAAAGTTAAGGCATGATCCAGATCAGGTGAAGTTAACCTTAAAGACCAGACCAGAGAAAGAGGAACAAACAGACCATGAGCTAGTGACCTGACCCCTGGCAAAACCACAAAGATATCAGAAGCTGTCTTTAGGGCTCTAGGATCTGCCTACTTTCCCCTCCTCTCTTCTTTTCCCTTCAGCATCTGAGTATCAACCTGCATTCTTGCTTATCTCCCTCTTAGCAAACCCTGCTCTCGGGCTATGTAGGGCAGAGAGACAAAAAGCACTACATGTAGGGAGACTCTTCATCAAGTCATGAGTGAGCTCCTAGTTCTAGTTTCAGCAGTTATGGTATGCATTCTTGGGGGCCCCTAATATCTCTTTTCACCTTTTCCAGCCCCCACCCCTCTCTTGGTCTACTGTCCCTGCCCTCTTTCCCTCTAAGCATCCACATAGCTCTACTAGAGCACTTGTCAGGCTGTATTGTAATTGTTTATGTCTACCAATCTCTCCTTTAGCCTGTGAGTTCAGGTGACTAGCTGTAGGTGTCCATTTCATCTCACTGATGTCCAGAACCTAGCTGAGAGGTCAGTGCTGAGCAGGTGATTTGTCAGGCGAACTCACTACCTGCTGGTTTCCTGAGTGAACGGAGGAGGAAATGAGAAAGAGAAGCATGGACTGCATATCTACCTGCTGCTTCCTTGATTTTATGTTTTAGGCAAGACAGGTATAGTCTCTGGATCTCTAGAGCCTCCCTATAAAATGAGAGGATCAAAGTGATGGACTTTGAGGTAACTTTCATCATCTTTTTTTTGTTGCTTTTTTATGCATTCGTTCAGTTATCAAGATCTGATAATAATAGCTTTAAGTTATGCTCTTGTCAAATATATTTGCACTTAAATAAGGAACAAAGCTTTCCTTGGTAAACAGGATAAGCTGTGATCTTCCCCAATCTAAATCCTAAACAAGTGGGGTCCAAATTAATGCATTTTGCCTTGTAAAGTTCATAAAAATTTTGTGGCCCAATGGGGACAAAGTATATTCTATGTATTTGATTGTGACAAATCTGTAAAAACCCTTTATGTGGCTTTCCCTAATCTCTCTCTGTTTCTCCCTCCTTCCCTCCTCTTCAGCTGAAAATAACAGACCAGCCCTCCCTCTGTGCCTTTGTGGCCCCATCCCCTGCTGTGACCATGGAGACTCTCAGCAGCTGCCAGACTGCCTTCCTCTCTGAGCTGGTGCCCAGTGGTTACCTGGCTCAGGTCTTCCCAGGATACTCTGAAGTAGAAGACCTGGCTGGGGAGGTGGTGCTGGAGAAGTCTGAGCAGTGTGACCAGGATGACTTGAATCCCAAGGAAGAGAATGGTCAGAACAAGAAAAAAACCAAAGTCAACAAGATCTGGAATTTTGTAAGCCGCAGAAAAGTTGCCTCCAATCAGGGGAAGCGCCCCCAGTCCATGATTTTATTGGGAGTCACTTCAAGGCCATCAGAGTTGAAGCCCAAAGTCACATTAATGGATCGAATGAAGTCATTCAAGAGGTTGAAACCTTCAACTGGGGCCGCCAAGAATACTCCTCCTAGGAGGAACAAGGCCCAGCAACCCCAAGAGATTCCAGGTATGTACCAGATGAGAAAGGCCCAGGAGGCTCCAAAGCCTTTCCGCTATTCTTACTCAGGCCACATTGAAAGCCTGGAGCCCTTCCTTGTAGATGTGCAGAAGCTAGTGCATGCCCCCAAGAGGATGAACCAGAAAGTACTGGCCTTCAATGACTTTGGTATGCAAGTGGAGGAGGATTCCTGGGAGGAAGAGTCCCCTAAGCAGCCTGGTAGGGGCAGGCAGGCCAAAAGCTACCAGAAAAGCATGTTACCTGGGGACCTTGAGGCCCCATACACATTAGCTGGAGACTCCAGAATCCAGGAACTTGAGGCTGCCATTGAGGGCTCAACCTTGGAAGGGAACATGGAAGGGGGTTACAAGGAGGGCCCTGGGCACCTGCGCCGAGGCAAGACTATGCCTTTTGGTAGTGTTGTCAAGTTCTTCAGCAGTGTGACCGAGGTGGCCCGAAAGTGGCGTTCATTCTCCCGAGAAGAGTTTCAGATGGGCAGACGCCGAGGTGAGGCCTACTTCATCAGTGGTGACAGTGAAGACTTCATTCTGGAGAATGTAGCCTCCCGAGCCAACTTCCCACTCAGCCTGCCCTGCCACCCCTCTGAGGCTGTGTTGTGGGGCAGTGTAATTGGGAGGCACCAGCGCCACCACCACAAGGCCTCACAAGCCTCATTCACCTTTAAAATGAGCGCAGAGGGCAAGGAGACTTTGGGCCAGGCCCTCACAGTTCCCTGCACTGCTGCTACCTTGGTCTCAACTTCAACCTCAGCTGTCTTCAAGTTCCAGGATGACCTGACACCAAAGAATGGCTGTAGCTTCCACTATGGCCATGCCTTCACTAGGGAGCACTCTTCCTCTAAAGAGCTTGATGAAGACCCTGAGACTGTGGTCAGCTTCCTGAAAGAAGATGACAGTGTTGGAGAGTCCCCTGAGCTGGGCACTTGTGCCAAGAGGATGACCACCAAAGCGGTCATGGAGAAGCTAGAAGAGAAGCCCAATGAGATGGAGGAGCAGGATACCCACAGGGGACCTGTGGGGTCCACCCAGGCAGGGCAGCCTCAGGATTCTGATTTAGATATAGGAGCAGCAGATGCAGAGAGAGAAGCCAGCAAAGCTTGTGCTGGAGTCCCCCGTACTCAGGTAAGGTTGGATCTGGATTTCCAAATCGCCATTTGAAATGTTCACATCCCCAGAAGCCAGCTAAACTACCATGGCGTCCTATATAACCATACCTTCCATCAGAAATATCCTGGAAGGAAAGCTCCCACCAGTCAGTTACCTTGGAATTGACTCATCCTAAAACCCCAGGCAATTTTTGTCTCTTCCTTGGGCTGAATGCCTGCAATCACATCTTAATTCAGCCTTGAACCAAAACTGAAGCTCTGGGAATGTCAGCAGAGTGATCAGGTTCATTTAATGATGCCCAAGACAGCCGTAGTCTCCTATTTTGCTTAGACTGTGGGATATTTCCCTGGCTTTGCCACCCTCTCCTCCCTCATCAACAGGACCTAAATCCAGAGACAGGGGTCAAGGAAAGCCTCTGGGACTGAGGGTCAGGAGACCTGGATTTATGTCTCAGTTCTGTGCTCTGTTCTCTGTATGACTTTGAGACAAATCCTTTCATCTTGTTGGACCTCAGTTTCCCTATAAAGGAGAGAAGGCAGTCTTGGTGTCTTAGAAATCTCTAAGCACCTTCTGGTAACAACACTGTTGTTTGACCTGAAGAATGTAGGTAGAGGACAGCCCAATAACATTCTTCTCCCAAAATTCATTGAGTGGTAGCTTTATAACAAGCATTTGTCTGGATGCTGTCACATACACTGCTTTCATTTAATTCTTAAAGTAACTTTGTGATGAGGGAGTGATTATCATCATTTTACCAGTGAGGAAACAGGCTCAGAGAAATTGAATAACTTCTCCAGAGTTATACAGATTGTGACAGAATTTGGATTCAAATCTCACTTTTGACTCCCAAGTCTAGTGCTTTTGCATAGCTGTCTATATTATTCAAAGGGTTTGACTTGAGTGATGACAAGAAGGAGCTCACCACACCCCCATTCATGGACAAAAAGAAAGGTGCTAAAAAGTAGTAGTGTTACCAGGCCCTTTTCAGATTATTGGACAGCATTACCAGAGAAATGAATATCTCCTTCACAAGAGTTTTAAGCAAGAAAAGCTTTTTATTAAAAGAAATAGTTTGTGCGTAAGGGAGAAGGCAGAAAAAAAGCTCCTAGAGTAGAAGAGGCAAGTTGCCTTTATAATAAAAGGGAGGGTTTGTCTCATGATCACTGATAATTTCCAGAAATCATTAAACTTCTTTGAACAGCAGCAGGTAGCTCCGTGGTGGCTATCAGGCTTAGGGGGTGCTTCTGTGAGGGGACAGGAGTGCATGAGAATTTTCTGCAAGAATGCACTGGAACAGATAAGATTAAAATGTGTAGTTGAGCTTCTTGTCTTATGGCAACTAGGTATACTGGTTGGTGTAACCAAAATAAAACTAGTCTTTTATTTTTGTGAGCTTGGTTTTTGTTTCTGGGACTCAGGCCCCCAGGACCTTTGTTCTTCAGCTTGCAAGTCCTGTTTTCCCCAGTTCTTTTCCAAAATGGCTGAATATCTTCCTTTCTCAGTAGGAAAAATGTTGGATAAACACTAGAAGGGACTATCTGGCTTTGAGACTTAAAAATGTCTTCACAAGGAGGTATGCTATAGTTTCTTCAGATAATTTTAAGGCAAAGCATTTCTTAAGTACAGTTAATTAAAATTCTTCTTCTTGGTAGTGGTGATGGGCGTGGTCTAGCTTGATAGTTCTTGACCTGTTTGAGCATCTCTCACATCCCATTTTCAGAGAACTTGGGTCACATGAGGACAGAAGCAATAAGCCTGCTTTTTCTGAGAAGGCCATTGATATGTTTAAAAGCATTCTCTTTCTATATTTATCATATTTGATAAGCTTTAAGGATATAAAAATTAGCGTATTGGGGGGAGTAAAGTCATTGCATTGGTTTTAAGTCCAACAATCAAGCAAACAAACAAAAAAACATACCTATGGCTCCGTTAGCTGATAATTGCTGTTGAGTATTGCATGTCCAATGTTATCAGTCACTAAGAAGAGGGTCATAGCTGAGTACATTCCCTCACTAGGCAGCTGTATGAACTGGACATGGGGATGCCTTATAGGTTCTTTAAAAGTGCAGGCTTTGGAGTCACAAAGGCTTGAGTGAAATTGGACAAAACAATCCCTACCTAAGGGGGCTGTTGTGGGGAATCAAAGGAGCCAGAGTATGTAAGGTAACCATTCTAGCATCATTTGTGACACGTTGTGAGCTTCCACAAAGTTGCAGTTGTCATTATTAAAATTTGGTAAATTATTAGTGAGTGTGAACAATATTCAGCCAGAAAAATAATTCAAGACTACTGTAAAATCAACTGGTTAATACAGTTGAAGGAAGTGTCTGAGGTCAGGAAACTGGCTTCTAGTGTCATTTACACCTTTGACTTTGCCTGTGACCTTGTGACAGATCCTTCCCCTCTCTGGGCCTCAATTTCTCCATCTGACCCACAGAATTTGCAGCACATAATTCCTGAGGATATTTCCTCCTTTTCTATCTCTAGCTTTTACCTCCCAGTTAAGCCTGTAATTGTTTCTCTGAGTCCAATGGGAGACTCCTTGCCATCCAGTAGCATTTTTTAGAATGGCTTTCCTGTGTCCTCTGCTGGTTGCTCAAAGATTCTGGCTGTCTTTCCCTGGTGTGGCAAACACCAGCCCAGACAGACCCTGAGATCCAGAGAAAAAGCAAAGTGGAGTGGAAAAGCTGAATGCCAGAGGGCAATGATGTAGGTCAGGGTTCTTATTGACCATCTGGTCCAATTACTTCATTTTACAGATGATGGGGCTACTGAGTCCCAGAGAAGAGACAGGATTTCCCCTGACACACAAAGCTGGGAGACAATTAGGACCTGAGAGATCCAGTATTGGATCTGCCTCAGATTCTACTGACAAAGCCCTTTCTCCTTCTGTGTTTTAGCAGCCTTATCTGCCAAATCCTCATTCTTCCTTCAGGCACCTTTCAGGTTCACTGTGAGGTTAAACTGGTATAACAAATATGAAAGTAATGCATTATTAGGTCCCAAAGGCCACATAATTACAGAGGATCATTATATGCAAATAGAGATGAAAAACCCAGCTAGCAGAATGGCACAGGTCCTTTTAGGTTTCCTAGGGAAACTGAGCATTGGCTGGCTTCCTCCAGGGTGTTTTATTTTTGAGGTCTATTCATCGAATCCTACAGAGCTAAGTGACTCCAGAAACTGTAGCTGCTTTGGCCCAGATATATAGCTCTGGTCAAGACTGGGGCTGGTAGTATAGTCCAGGACAGGATGCAGCTTCAAGGGGATGATATCAGAAGGCAAGAATAGAATCTCTTCAGAGTCCTTCATTTGGTGGGGGAGGGTATACTTCAGTGGTTAGAGTTCATGCTTAGCATGCACAAAGTCCTGGGTTCAATCCCTAGTACCTCCATTAAACTAACTAATTAAAGAAATAAACCTAATTACCGCCCCCCGAAAAAAATCAAAAACAGAGTCCTTCATTTGGGGGCTGGCCGAAACTTCTCTGTGCCTTACTCTTTGCATTAGGAAAATGAGGAGAATTAGGAAATAATAATTATAGATAACATTTACATACTGCTTATTATGTCCCAAGACACTCACTGTTCTAAGCATTTTGCATGTATGAGCTCAATTCATCATACAACTGCCTTATGAGTCAGGGACTATCTTTAAAATGTGGATGATAATAATATCTATTTTATAGGAGTTTTGTGAAGATGAAATGAGTAAATAAACACAAGTACTTATAACTGTCTGACCAAGAATCACTGTGATGTAGAAAACCGGATGTGGAGTGTGAGGAGGGCCATATCCCAGGTCTCCGCTGCGTCCCTAGGATGTCAAGTGTGGGTCCTTAGCTTTGCACAGGAAAGATTTCAAGAGCCAGCCACAATTAAGTAAAGGTAGATTGATTGATAGATTGATTGATTTTTAAAATTGAGTTACAGTTAAAAATGTGTCAAATTCCAGTGTAGAGCACAATTTTTCAGTTATACAGGAACATACATATATTCATTGTCACAGTCCTTTTTGCTGTGAGCTACCAAAAGATCTTATGTGTATTTCCCGGTGCTATACAGTATACTGTTGTTTATATATTCTACATACTCCTGTCAGTATCTACAAATTTTGAAACCCCAGTCTGTCGCTTCCCACCACCCTCCCCCCTGGCAACCACAAGTTTGTAATCTATGTCTATGATACTGTTTATGTTTTGCATTTATGTTCTTTTTTTTTAAGGTTCCACATATGAGCGATCTCATATGGTATTTTTCTTTCTTTCTGGCTTACTTCACTTAGAATGACATTCTCTAGGAACATCCATGTTGCTGCAAATGGTGTTATGTTGTCAGTTTCTATGGCTGAAAAGTATTCCACTGTAGAAATATACCATACCTTCTTTATTCCGTCATCTGTCGATGGACATTTAGTCTGTTTCCATGTCTTTGCTATTGTAAATAGTGCTGCTATGAACATTGGGGTTCAGGTATCATTTTGAAGTAGGGTTCCTTCTGGATACATGCCCAGGAGTGGGATTACTTGGTCATATGTTAAGTCTATGCCTAGTCTTTTGAGGAATCTCCACACTGTTTTCCATAGTGGCTGCACCAAACTGCATTTTCACCAGGAGTGTAGGAGGGTTCCCTTTTCTCCACAGCCTCTCCAAAATTAGTCATTTGTGGACTTTTGAATGATGGCCATTCTGACTGGTATGTGGTGATACCTAAACATAGTTTTGATTTGCATTTCTCTGATAATTAGTGATATGGAGCATTTTTTCATGTGCTTATTGATCATTTGTATGTCTTCCTTGGAGAATTCCTTGTTTAGATCTGCCCATTTTTGGATTGGGTTGTTTGATTTTTCTTATTAAGTCATATGAGCTGCTTATATATTCTGGAGATAAGGCTTTGTCAGTTTCATCTTTTGCAAAAATGTTCTCCCATTCTGTAGATTGTTTTGTTTTGCTTATGGTTTCCTTTGCTGTGCAGAAGCTTGAAAGTTTAATTAGATCCCATTTGTTTATTCTT